TTCGTCAAACGCAAGTCTTGGACGCGATTAGCACACGAACCTTCGATTCATGAAATATGAATACCTGCCACTGGGTGATGACTGAATTTGCGGCTTCACTGGCCTCATTCCAAGGCCGTCAAAGGATCACCGTTTGACCATATACTACAACTACGCGCATTCACGTCAACAGGATACCAGCACCTTGTCACATCTTGTCTGTCTCATATTTCGAGTAGGAAAATATATACAATAACTACAGTTGAATGGAGACGGTGCAGTTGCTTCCAAAAACGCTTTTCATTTCCACCTAGATGAATAACTCCGTCCTCAAAGGACTGCTCACGAATGGACACTCGACAGTGTTCGAGACTCGCTTGATTACGAGCTGTTCCACTTCACAGTCGAGAGGTCGTAACCCGCATAGTCTCGGCATATAACCAAGATGTCATATGAGACAGTCGGAAGGGAAATTACTGGGCAAAGCCTTGACGAAGAAAGCTGAACAGACCGTTCGGATCAGATGGCTGTATTATACACGAAGTTTGACATTGCCGAGTCTTTGAATCTAGGCCTTTGAGCTTGTTCGCTAAGCGGTGGATCGAAACCTCTTTAAGAATCTATCAAATGATGTCAAATCGTCTGCAACTCTTCACTTTACGTTTATAGTACGCTTAGAATACACCTAAATCATTCAATCAGAGAAAGACATTAAATCGATTAGTCATATATACAATGACTGTCGCAAAGCACCACGGCCAAAGTCCCTAAACTTGAACCGTACTTAATATATTGAAAAGAGGTATATGAGAAACATAGCCGTTTAAGAAAACGGATGCCGACAACTGAACAGCAGTAGATACTGGTCTTTCTGATGCTGATTTATGATAAACCGGTTTTATCTGTCCATTCCCTTGAGAGACCAGTGCATTCGCTGATGTCTGTTCCTGTCCACCTCATCACCGCACCTCTGCTGTCCAGACAAAGGGTCCGGTGAATTTCACTGCCGAGTCTCGTAGTGACTTCTACGTCACGGCACTCCGTTTAATCATATTAGACGATAACAGAAATTAGCCAATTCATTGAGAAGAAGGAGTCATACGAGATAAAGGGAATTTCGACCATTTCTGGACAGTTCGTTACCTCGAATTTATTTTATCAGCTGACCTCACGATGTGACGGAATCCAGCGTCTGTTTTTATCGCCTCCGTCTTAGTGATCCTGACGCAACATGTCGTTCATTAAAAGTAAGTGTAGTTTTATTGAACAATTTCAAAATCTGTGCTGTCTCTGAAACCTTCCCTTATCTTTTCAATATACTTATTCCTAATAATTGTACTAATGTTCTATTTAATGTGATTTCACTCCTTCAGTGTAACTTTTCTGCATATATATGCTTTAAATAATATTTTTGTGAACTAGGAGCCAGCGTTTCGTCTCGCTTTCTCATTCTGTATGTAAACGTACTTAAAATGCATTTAAAGAGTCGACTATGATTGTCTGATTTGTTATTCACTAGCTATCGATCATTAAATATTCTAGAACTTTCTGTCTTCCCATGTTAAAAAGATTAGAATCAGATGATTAAGTTAATATAGGTTGACAGCCTGCTGACATCATATGACGTGGCGGTGGGGCTGCGTGTTTCAATCATCCTCAAGCCATGCAAATAGAAGCTTCAACTTTTCGTAGGACCTTCCATGCTGGACAAGTTCAAGGCGAGAGGCCAGACAAAGTGCGATCAACAGACAGTGCAACAGATCTTCGAATTA